TTTTTTTTTTTTTTTTTTTTTTTTAAATAAAAAAAAAAAAAAAAAAAATGACTTTAAAATTTATAATACATGATCCTAAAGCAAAATTATTGTTTTCTCCAAATGAATTTTATAATACTTTAAATTATATGTTCAAAAATTCCAAAAATAGAATTGTGATAAGTTGTCTATATCTTGGAATTGGAGAATTAGAAAAAGAATTAGTAGAAAGTATAAAAAAAAACATAAATATAAGAAATGCAAAAGTAGACATTTTATTAGACAAACAAAGAGGTACGAGACCAGAAGGAAAATTAAAAGAAAGTTCGATAAGTGTATTATCAGAATTATTTAATTATTGTAATAATATAAATATAAATTTATTTCATAACCCATTATTAGGTGCAATTTTATATAACATTTTACCTTGCAGAGTTAATGAGATTATAGGCGTGATGCATATGAAAGTCTTTATTGGTGATGATACTTTGCTTTTATCAGGTGCAAATTTAAGTGATAGTTATTTACGAAATAGACAAGATAGATACTTTTTAATTGAAAATAAACTATTGGCTGATTCTGTTCATAAAATTGTTAATACTATTCAGAAAATGTCTTTTACTTTAGATGTTGATTTAACTATAAAATGGAATAATGATTTAATGAATCCACTCATAGAATCTCATTTATTTCGTGAACAATATTATAGAAGAATACAATATGTGTTAAATGAAATTCAAAATGATATTTCAAACTATAATAAAGAACATTTAAATGATAATTATAACAATACTATTATTAATACGAAAAACTCAACAAATGTTAAAAAGCGAAATACACATTATTGTAATGAAATAGTTAATAATGGTGATAAAAATATTAATGATAGTCAAAAGCTTGATAATGAAATATGTGAAATAAAATATGGGGGAATTCATGGTTTTATAAGTAAATTAAAACAAAATATATTCTGTAAAGAAAAAAACAAAAAAAAAATGAAAAATGACTTTGAAAAAAAAAATGATTTACACAAATATTCAAATGAAAAATTCGATTTTTTTTATCCATTATTTGAAAAAAATAAAAGTATTTTAATAGTTGAATTAGCTATGCAATGTGGATTTTCTATACCCCCTATATATGACGAAAGTGAAATGTTGGAAAATTTATTAAAAAATATCAAAAATTACAATCAAAGTTTAGTTATTTCTTCAGGATATTTAAATTTCCCACAAAATTTTTTAAAGTTATTTAGAAATATATTTGATAACTTGATTTCTAAAAATGGAAAAATACAGCTAGTCACTGCTTCTCCTTCAGCCAATAGCTTTTATAAATCAAAAGGTATAACCTATTATGTTCCTAGCGCTTATTCAGCTGTTGCTCATTTATGTATTGAATTCATTACGAAAAATGTATCAAGTATTTTCAAAAACTCAAATAAAAAAATTGATTTACAAAAAAAAAAGAATTATGATAGTAATATATATTTAGAATATCATAAACCATCATGGACATTTCACTCAAAAGGAATTTGGATAATTAATAATGTGGATAAAAAAAATGATACAACTGATGAGGATCCAGGAGAAAACAATATAGATTATAATAGGAATTTCAAAAATAACATAAACACATTGGAAAACTGTGATGTAGATAAAAAATATGTGGAAAATAAGGAAAATGATGAATTAAATGATATTAATGATCATAATTATTTAAGTAAATGTTTCAATGATTTACCTTGGAGCATAGTAATAGGTAGCTCTAATTACGGATATAGAGCAACTTATCGAGATTTAGAAATGAGTTTTGTAATTAAAACAAATGATTATAATTTAAAACGCCAATTTCAAGAAGAATTAAATATTATTTATGAATCATCCAAATTTGTTCAAATGAATGAATTAAAATTAAGATGCCCTAAATGGTTAAAATTGATAGTTAAATATATTGTGAAATGGTTTTTATAAAATTTAGTAATATTTAACATTTCAACATTTTTAATATTTGTTCTTTGTTATTAATTTTATTGTAATTATATGTATATATATTTTTTTTTTTCTTATTTTACAATATAAATGTAAAACAAAAGAAAAAAAAAAAAAATTATTATTTGAGGTATATAATTGCCAAATTATTTTCCACCATTGTTTTTATGTGTGTAAATATTTTAACTATATGTAAAAATTTCTTATTTTACATTTTCTCGTTTTTTCTTGTACTATCAACTTTTTAAATATCATTAATTTTTTTTTTCAAAATTGTTTGACACTATACAAAATAGATATATTTTTATAAGTATATTGTTCTATTATGATTTTCTTTTATTTTTTTTTTTTTTTTAACATGTAACTATTTTTTTTTTTTTAATATTAATTTGGAATGAAATATATATATTTGCGTACCATTTGATATTAAAAAAAAAAAAAAAAATTTTAAATATAAACTTTACTGTTATAAAAATAAAAGAAGAAAACAAACACATAAGTTTACATTATTCAAATAATGAATTTTTATGATAAATAAAAAAAAAAAAATATAAGTAAAAAAATATAAATATAAGCTTATATATCAAGTTTATTTTTGTTGTTTAAATTTAATATACTAAAAAATAGAAGGAAAATATATATATATATGGTTATATAGAAAATAATTATTTCATAAATATCTTTTTATAGGCAACTTGTTTCTCATCTCTCTTTTTATCTTCGAAATACTGATTAATTCTTTAAAAAAATTTAATTCCATTAAAAGTTGAAAGGATACATTCTAAATTACACGAAAAAATATGATACACATAAATAGTAATATCAAATAGAAAAGTAAATAATACTTATTATATATATATATATATTTTTTTTTTTTTTTTACAATATATTTATTAAAAAGGAAAAAAAAAAAAAAAAATAAAAATAAACACTTTGGTTTTTATATATATAGAAATTTATTATTTTATAAGTTTCTTAAAAGAATAAATATTGATGAAATATAAATTTTTAATTTAAAAAATAATAATATGCATTATATATATATATATATATATATATATATATATATATATATAAATTGATTGAACAAATTCATAAATATATTTTTTAATTTACTATATAGTTTTTACTTTTAAGAAACTAAAAAAATTATTATTATAATAAAGAAAAAAAAATTAAAAATGAAAATGTATAAAAAAAATATATGGAGGAAATAAAAAAATAAAAGAACATTTTATTTTTAATATAGAATAATTTTAAAACGTATTCCTTAATATAATAGGAAAGAAATATTAGTTTGTTTTTTTTTTTTTTTTTAAAATAGAATTTCTTTATTTTTGTTGGATAAAAATAAAAAGCAATAATTGAAAATGTTATAGATTATAGAAAATACTATTAAGTATATATATAATAATTTCCTTAAATTATGAATTTTGTTTTTTTTATATTTTTAAAATTTTTTATTACAATAAATGCTTTTAAATATTATAAATACAAGAAAAATGAAAATAAAAATTATTTTTTATTTTTAAATAGATGTAGTAAAATATATAAACCTAAAAATATATATAAAATAATTTTATTTAAAAAACCCTATTTTCAAAATAATAAAAATAACTTCAAATTATACATTCACACCTTGGATAAAGGAGAAGATAATAATTTCTTGTCCATTAATAATTTCAACAAAAAAGAAAAAACAAAAAAAAGAAAATCATTTAAGGATATATCATATAATAGTGATTCTGTAAAAGATGTATTAAAAAAAACAAAAAAATTTTGTAATTATCTAACTAATAAATTAGGTAGATTAAATAAAAAATTAAGAGAAATAAAAAAATTAGAAACTGTTTTTTATGCGAGTCCAAATATCTTAACAGAAAGTCAAAAAGTTAAAATAAGTAAAAAGAAACAAATAAAAAATGAAATAGTTTTAATTAATAGATATAGAAAAAAATATATATCATATAAAAGGAATTTAATGAAAAATAAAGATGATTTATCACCATTTTTTTATTCAAAAAAAAAATTAAAAAAGAAAAAGGAATTTTGTACACCTGAAGAATTTAGAGAAATTTGTATAAAAAAAAAGAAAAAAAAAAAAGAATAATAATTTTCTGAGATAATAATTAAACAAATGTTTTTGTATTTGTTTTTATTTATTCATAATAATTTTAATTGTTATATATAGTTTTTATATATAATGACTTAATTCTTTAAATGTGTCTTTTTTTTTTTTTTTTTTTTTTTTAGTGAAATCAAATGATTATAAAGCAACTATACAAAGAATAAAAAGAATAGATATACAAAAAATACCAAAAAATATAACTGACTTTTTAGTATTTAATAAATATGGATCAAGAGAAGAAATTAAAATTTTATTTGGTCTAAAAGCTATAAAAATAAATGGAAATACAAGTATTAATAAAAAAAAAAAATAAAATAAAATAAACAAATATATATTTATATACAATTTTTTTAGAATGATTATTTTTTTTTTAAATAAAATATTTTCATTTTTCTTTTTTTAATAATATATAGTTGATGATGAAAATTATATATTGAATCTAAAAGAAGACAAAGTAAAAGTCTTTGATCAAGACGTTAATATACATGAGGATCAGTAATATACAAACAGAAATAAAAAAATTTAAAGAAAAAAAAATATATATATTATTAATCAAATTATATATATATATTATGAAATTAAGTTTATATATATATATATATATATATATATATATATTATGATATTTAAAATTATTTGTAAAATACATAGAAAAAATCCTCTTAAGGAATAAAGAATATTTTTTAAATGCACGATATATATTTATATATGAGTATTATTAATAATTAAACTTTTTTTTTTTTTTTTTTTTAGTTACGCTATTAGAAAAAGATTTACAAAAGATCAAAAAAGAATTTTAAATGAAAAAAAAGAAGAAAATATATCAGATATTAAAAAAGATATTAAAGAATTAGAAAAATTTTTTAAAATTAAAAACACGTAACAAATTTTTTTATTTTTTTAAGGAAAAAAAAAATACAGATCTATATTTTCTAGATTCTTATTCTCACAGTCTTCTACCAAAATGTATTATAAAAGAGGGTTTTTATTTTTTTATTTTGATAAACTATAATTTTATTTTCATTTAAAAAAAAAAAAAAAAAAAAAAAAAAAAAATTAAAATGGAAAAAAACTACAAATTATTAAATTTAAGAAAAGAAAACTTTTTTAATTCTTTAGATTTTTAAACTTATATTTTTTAATTTTGTGAAATTATCTAGTCAAATTTTATATATTTGTAATTCTATTTTCTTAATATATTCTTCATTATGTATATAAATATTTTTTTATAAAATCATTTACAAACTAATTTTTCAGGTGTAAAAAAAATATTTAAATCTGCATACAAGTAATATAAAACATTTTTATTATTTAATTTTCTTCTATTTGTAAGTATTTTATTTTATTATTTTATTTTTTTTTTTTTTTTTTTTTTTTTATATAAATAGTAACATATTTTTATTTCTTTTTGTTTTTATTAAATTATTGAAATTAGCATTTATGAATAATCACATTTACTGAAAAATTTTTTTTTTATAAAATATTTTTTTTTTATTTTGTTACTATATTTATTAATGAATATCACAAGGGAAAAAAAAAAAAAAATGACAAAAAAGTCCTATAATTTTTTAAAACTTATAAAATATATCTAATGGAATTATTAATTCATAATGCGAGAAAAAATATATACCATTAAAAGATGTTTAAATAAATTTTAAGAAGAAAGTAATTGAAATTTTTCTTTTTTTCTTTTTTTTTAATTTTTTTTTTTTTTTTTTTTTTTATTATATGACTTTAGTAAATAATAAAACAACAATGTGAAATTTTAATTTTCCAAATAAAAAATGAATGACAGAGCAAATGAAAATTTATTGAAGACAAATTCGTACAACTTAGGTATTGATGATATCCAAAATTTAGGTTCTATATATTCTTTTCAAAATAAGGAAAAAATTGAAAAATACAATGAAGAAATCAAACTATTGAAACAACAGTAATATATATATATATGAATATTATTTTTAAATTATATATAAGAACAATGAAAATATAAAAAAATATAGAAAAATCTAAAAAAAATAAATAATTTTAAAAAATTTATAATATATATATGAACATAATCTTTTTTTTCCTCTTTTAATACTTTAGATTAAATGATTTGAACGAGAAAATGGGAAAATGGTAAATTAAATTTATTTTAACTATAACTCAAAAAAAATATAAATTTATCAGTATAAATAATTATTATTTTATTATTTTCTTTTTTTTTTTTTTATATAATAGTAGTTATATACCTAAGACTATTGAACCAACCAAATTCCCAGAATTAACATTTTGGTTCTATGAATTAAAAGAGATGGTTAATTTATTAATTAAAAAAAAAAAAAAAAAAAGAAAAAAGAAAAAAGAAAAAAAGCGTATTTTTGAATCTATATATATATATATAGACATTTTAATCATTACTATATTTTTATAAATATAGTTTACATTTCATATATATATATATATATATATTTTTTTTTTTTTTTCTTTTTTTGTTTGAATATTATTAGAAAGAGTTTCAAGATTTGGTATTATATGAAATAAAAAGGAAAAAGAGGCATTTCAAAATTTTAAGTCAAAGTTGTGTAAAATATTTAAGTAATAAAGAAAAATTGAAATTAAAAAAACAAGAAGAAGAAGAAAAGAGATTAAAATTATATTCTAAAAATATATCATCTTATATGGATTTATTTTGGAAAAAGATAGAGAAATTAGTATGGGAAGAAAAAAAAAAAGAATTACAAAAAACATTAAATAAAAAAAAAGAAATGCGATTTAAAAAATTTGTAAAAGGTGCAATTAAAAAAATAAAATGTGCTAGACATAATGCTCATGAATTATTTGAAAATAAATCATTTAGTGTTAGTTCTTATAATAATAGTGAACAGCTTAATAATTCTTCCAATTTAGATAATTTAGATAAAGAATTGAAGGAAGAAGATCTAACTGATCAAGAAGAAGAAGATATTCTTTTAGATGAACAAATGGAATCAAGTGATGAATTAGAAGATAAAAAAAAAGAAATTAGCTTATTAGATGATGAAGCAAATATTCCAATTGAAGAATTATTAAAAAATATTTATGGGTTCAAAAGTGGAGAAGAATATTTAAATTTAATGCAGAAAAAGGAAGAAGATTATGAAGAAGGAAATGATGAAAAAGATGAAGAAGATGAAAAAGATGAAGAAGTCAACACAAAAGGAAAAAATGAAGAAAAAAAAGGAGAGAAGATAAAAAAAGAAAAATATGAAGAAAAAAAAGAAGACCAGATTAAAAAAGAAAAATATGAAGAATATTCGAAAGATGAAAAGAATGAAGACAAGATAAAAAAAGAAAAATATGAAGAATATACGAAGGAAGAAAAGAAGGAAGAAAAGAAGGAAGAAAAGAAGGAAGAAAATTTAAAAAAAGAAAAATATGAAGAATATTCTAAAGAAGAAAAGAATGAAGAAAATTTAAAAAAAGAAGAATATGAAGAATATTCGAAAGAAGAAAAAGACACTAATGAAGTAAGTATAAAAAATAAAGATGTTGAAAATGAGAAAAATAAAAGTATTTTAAGAAAAGCAAGTAATGAGAATAAAAATAATGAGAAAAAAAGAAAAATAGAGAAAGAAGAATATAATTTAAGAAAGTCAAAAATATTAAAGAATAATTCTTCAAGTAAAAAAGATGAAGAATTGGTATGTAATATGGATGAAAAACATTTAACAAAAATTCCACCAATTATTAAAGCAACATTACGTGATTATCAACATGCAGGTCTACATTGGTTATTGTATTTATATAAAAATAATATTAATGGTATATTAGCAGATGAAATGGGTTTAGGAAAAACATTACAATGTATATCTCTGTTAAGTTATTTAGCTTTTTATTTTAATATATGGGGACCACATCTCATTATTGTCCCTACTTCTATTTTAATTAATTGGGAGATTGAATTAAAAAGATTTTGTCCATGTTTCAAAATACTATCATATTATGGTAGTCAAAATGAAAGATATAAAAAAAGAATTGGATGGTTTAATAATGATTCTTTTCATATTTGTATATCTAGTTATTCTACAGTAGTTAAAGATCATATAATTTTTAAAAGAAAAAAGTGGAAATATATTATATTAGATGAAGCTCATAATATCAAAAATTTCAATACAAAAAGGTGGAATATTATATTAAGCTTAAAGAGAGAAAATTGCTTATTAATTACTGGTACTCCTTTGCAAAATAGTTTAGAAGAGTTATGGTCTCTTTTACATTTTCTTATGCCTAATATTTTTACTTCTCATTTAGATTTTAAAGAATGGTTTTCAGATCCTTTAAATTTAGCTATACAAAAAAGTAAAATTCATGACTCCAAAGAATTAATTGATAAATTACATACTGTTATTAGACCATACATTTTAAGAAGATTAAAAAAAAATGTAGAAAAAGAAATGCCAAATAAGTATGAACATATTATAAAGTGTAAGTTAACAAGAAGACAAAAAATTTTATATGATGAATTTATAAATAATAAAAATGTTCAAAATACTTTAAACGCAGGGAATTATATAGGTTTAATGAATATATTAATTCAATTAAGAAAAGTGTGTAATCATTGTGACTTATTTACAAATAAGTATATTCAAACACCCTTTTATTATAATTTACCTATCAACTTTTATATTCCTCGTTTTTTTATTTTATTTAATAAAAATTACTATCTAGATTTCTATCTAATTATTTTTTTACATAATGAATTCACTTCAATGGGAGGAAAATGTGTAAACAAAAAGAAAAAAGAAGAAGATAAAGAAAAAAATATTTTAATGAATCCTTTATATTTTAACCAGGGTTATATTAATGAAGTAACCACCATTTTACCAAATATAAACAACTGTGAGCAGACTTCTTTTTGTGATAATTTTCAAAATACAAATATAATTCTAAATGATTCTTGCAATGAATCTAATATTAATCTTAGCTGTAATTTTCAACATGTGCAAAATAATAATATTTTTGATAATAATTCTCAAATTATGCAAAATTCTAGCAATTTTACGAATTTTCAAAATATTCAAAGTAATAATAATATTGATAACTTTCAAAAAATGAACAATTTTAACATTGATAATTTTCAAAATATGCATAATATTAATAATATCAATAATTTTCAAGGTACAAATAATATTAGTAATTGTAACAATTATTATAATACACAAAAAAATAATTTTGATAATTTTCCAAATTCATCTAGTAATAAGAATTTTTGTAATTTTCAAAATATTCCGAACAATTTCTTCATATCTAAAGATTTACAGAATGAAAACTATATAAATAATGACTCAATGATAAAAAATAATATACCTCATTCTTATTTATTTCAAAACATAAATAACACAAATATTAACAATTCGGATATTTCAGGAAACTTAATAAATGAAGGAAATACTTTTAATGAAAAAGAAAATATATCTGTAAATTTTAAAAATACATCTGTAAATTTTAAAAATACATTTGTAAATTTTAAAAATACATCTGAAAATTTTAAAAATACATCACATATAGATATGAATACAAAAGATTTAAATAGTTATGTTTATGATGAAATTTATAAAAGCAATATTCCTAAAAATCTTTTAACATATTCTGATGAATTTGTGAAGGAATTAAATAATAATTATGATATATTGTCAATTTATATTGATCCTTGTAAAAAGTATAAAAGTTATGATGAGTATTTATATAACATGGATAAAAGTGTTCAAACAAATATCTGTGATAATATTAATAAATCAAATAATAAAAATATATCTAATGAATTTATGAATTTAAAAAAAAGAAAATTCATATACAAATATAATATGAAAGTTATAAATAATGAAACTCAGTATAGAAATTTTTTTTTTGATGATACTAATCAAAGTTATGTAAATTCAATTGAACATAATTTATGGATAAAAAGGGAGAGAGAATATGATAAAATCAAAGAGGAAGAAAATAAAAAAAAGTTTTCATATATAAATGAATATAATTATATAAAAAATAATAGGACTCCATTATTTGGTAGTAATTTATTGCATTTCATTAAGAAAGAATTTAAGAAAGATAAAAATATATCATATAACTATAATAACAATATAACCATTGACTATTATACAATGAAAGACGTGAATATACAAGACATTACTGAAACGAAGGAAGATTATATAGATGTAGAATTGAAAGATATAAAAAAAACTGATAGTAATAATTATGAAAACGTATTAGATGGAGAAACACAAAAAAATAAATATAATTTAAATGAAGATATTAAGAGAAATAATATAAATGTTTCATATATTCTTGAAACCCTATTTCCTACTTTAGAAAATTTTTTAAAAAATTATGAAAAAATAATTCATAATTTTATTGTAGTAAATAATCCATTAGTCATTTGTAATAATCATAAAATATCAATAAATAATAATTTATTAAATAATAATAAAAAAATAGATCCTATAATTAGAAAAATAAAAGTAGCTACAAGAGTTTATCATAAAGCATTCTTAAAACAGTCAATTATCTTTCCTTTAAATAAAGATATATCACTAGGAAGTGGTAAGTTGTTTGCTTTAGAGAAATTATTAGCGAAATGTAAAAAGGAAGGAAATAAATGTTTATTATTTACTCAATTTATAAAGATGTTAGATATTCTAGAAATTTTTTTAAATCATTTAAATTATTCTTTTATAAGACTTGATGGTTCAACTAAAGTAGAACAAAGACAAAAAATAGTAACCAAATTTAATAACGATAAGTCAATATTTTTATTTATTTCTTCAACACGTAGTGGAAGTATAGGAATAAATTTGATTGCAGCAAATGTAGTTATTTTTTATGATACTGATTGGAACCCATCTATTGATAAACAAGCAATGGATAGATGTCATAGAATTGGACAAACGAAAGATGTTCATGTGTTCCGATTTGTTTGTGAATATACAGTTGAAGAAAATATATGGAAAAAACAGCTACAAAAAAGAAAATTAGATAATATTTGTATAAACATGGGTAATTTTAATAATTCCGAAACTAATAACATAAATAAGGATTGGTTCTCCAATGTTGATTCAATTAAAGAGATTTTCATTAATAAAAAAAACAATGATGAAGATGACGATATATATAAAGACCGATTATTACATGAATATTTAGAAGATAATGAAAAGACTAACTTTAGATTTGAAAAAACATTAGAACATGTTGAAGACAAAGATGATATCAATGCATTACATGCAGCCAAAAAAGAAACACAACATGTTATATCTCAGGATTTGCAAGTATTTTAAATATTTTCTAAAAAAATAAATTATTAAATAAATACCATAACTCAATTTTTTTAAAAATATAGGATTTAATAAAAATCTTTTTTTTTCCTTTTTTTTTTTTTTTTTTTTTTTTTAGGAATTTACTAATAAAAATGATTTCCAGGAAGTATACAATCTAACTTCTTACTGTTTTAATTTTTTAAATGATAATTTGACAGATTCTTTAAAACAACAAATTGACGAAATGAAAATGAAAATTGAAATTGAAATGATGAATGGTGGAGGAGATGAAAATATATCAATTAGTGATTCATCAAGCCAAAGTGAAGCTTCAAAACATGAAAATGATTCTAAAGATATAGAAGAAACATAAAAAGAATATAAAATCATTCCAATTTTCCACCATTTATAGAAAATAGTAGAATTTTATATATTAAAATAAATATAAAATATATATTTTTTAATATTTAATAATTATTACATAAATGAATATTTTTAGATATTCTTATTTTTTATATTTCTTTTTAAAGTTATATTGTTACGTTAATATATGATTACCTTTCTTTTATTAAATCCGATATACATTTATAAAAAAAAAAAAAAAAAATAAAATGATTCCTTTATGTGCCTTTAAAATTTTTAAAATTTATTTTAAATAAAAAAAAATTCCTTAAAAAAATATATATAATCTTAAATATTAGTAACAACACTTTTTTTTTTTTTTTTTTTTTTTTAATTTTTGTTTATATATTTTAAAGTTATTAAAAACATAAAAAATATTAAGGTATAATTGTAATATTTTAAAATTCCAAATATGAGAATAAAAATACTAATATAATAAATATATATTTTTATTTTTTTTTTATCTCATTTTTTTTTTCTTATTTTGATAATAAATACTAAATAATACAGATCAAATTATGTCATAAAAAAAAAGAAAAGATAAAATAAAATGTAATAAAAATACCAATGAGGAAATAATTAAGTAAATTCTTTTTCATTTAATTATGAAAAAAATTCATAAATTAGGATTCAATATAATATCCCAAAGGCTAATTTTATTTTAATTTTTTCCAATTACAATGAAAAAAGGAAAAATATTAAAATAAAATATAAATAAATAAATTAAAAAATAAAAAATTTTTTTATTATAAATGTAAATATATATGTTAAACTCAGAAGAAAATATAAATAAGAATTATTAATTTAAAGATTTAATAAATTATATCAATCAAGGATATTTTTTTATTTTTAACATTTTGATTTTATAATTTTTATTTTTATAATGGAAAAAATAACCTTAATACAAAGTAATTTTAAAAAATTACAGAAAAAAAAATAATAATTCCTAAATTCATTTGGTTATTTTATATTATTTATTATATTTTTTATGTAGATCCTTTAGATTTCATTCGCCTAAATATGGAAGAAAAAATATTTTTAAAATGTAAAGGAGATAGAGAGATAATAGGAAAATTAGATGTACTAAAAATATTATGCTACATTTTTATATAATTATATTCTTCTTTTTTTTAATTACCTACATATTTATATAATGTATTAAATTATTTTCATTATATTTTTTTTGAAGGCTTATGATAATCACTTAAATATGATTTTATCAAATGTTCGTGAAACATATAAATATAGCGTCAAAGAAAACGATCAAGAATGTATTAAAGTAATAATTATTAATTTATAAATATATAAAAACTAACAGAGAAAATTATTCATATATATTTATATATTTTATTAGATATTAAACCAAGTGTAAAAATAAATAAATAAATAAATAAATACCTAAAATAAACATAGAATAATATAAATTTTTATTTAAAATTATTTTTTATTAAATTTATTTTATTTTTTTTTTTTTTTTAGAAAATGGAAAGAAATTTAGACATGGTATTTGTTAGAGGTGATTCTATCATTTTAGTATCATCTGCATTGAAATAAAAAAAAAAAAAAAAACATAAAATTCTTCCCAAAAAAATTTTGTTTATTTCATGTTTATAATTTTTAAATTTATATTAAAATGCATAACTTTATTTTAAAATTCAATTTTTTGTAACTTTATATTTTTTTTTTAATAATTTAAAAATTTAAGGGAATTATTAAATAAAAATTATAATTAGTAAAAATAAATAAATAATATATTAATATAAATAAGAAATTTTAACAAAAAAAAAAAAAAAATTATATAGAAAAAATAGATATAAAACAATTTATAAAATAAATATAAAGATAAAAAAGTGTATATAATATAGAAACCTAATGAATTGAAAAATAGAAGTAAAATTATAAAAGTAAAAGATTAAAATAAATATTCCTTGTTATACATATATAAAATAATTTAAATTTGAAAAAAAATATTAGAAATGAATATATTTTTAAGAAATTAATTATATCAACATTAATATGCTTTATTCTATTTTATATTATTTTATTTTTTTTTTTTGTGTAATAAGAAAATATAAAAATTATAAACATATAATAATAAAATCATATTTTTTAGTTAAAAAATATAAATATATATATATCTATATCTACATTATTTCCTTCTTGGTTATAATAAATATGGAATATAAAGAGAAACCTGAAGGACCTTTTTTTGTGTCTTTTTTTGTAAAAAGAAAAAAATATAATAATTAATCAATTTTTAATTTTTCATATTACTATAATTATAAATAAATTTTTATTTTAAAAAAAAAAAAAAAAAAAAAAAAAAACAGGTTACAAATTTCAATGCATCTGATGAATCATGTTGGTACAAAATAAACATACTAGGTAAATTATTGAAATTTCAAAAATACATATAAATTAATAAAATATAATAAAAGAAATAAGAAATATATAGAGAACGTTTAATAAACAATTATAAATACAATAACTATCTTTACTAAATTAATAGATTTCTACAATAATATTTATGAATCAAATATAATAAAAAAAAATAACTGCCAACAAATTAATTTTTATAATAACTATATTGAACTAAATGAAGGTAAATTGAAAAGAAGAAAAAAATATAAGTAAAAATTTGAATTAATTTAACTTATTTTTTCTTTTTAATATTAGAAACAGCTATAAATGATATAATAGAAAATTCAATAAAAATAGAAATTTTTGCAAAAAATAATTCTTCTAATGCTAATGATGATAACTTTTTTTTAATTGGATGTGAAAGCATAAAAACATTTCCTTTTTTACATGATCAATTAATACTAGGAAAAAATATTTCCATTTGTTATAAATATGAAGAAAAAAAAGATGATATAATAGATCAAAATGTAGGAAGTGAAAAGAAGAAAAAGAAAAAAAATAATGAAAAAGAAGAAAAAAAAAAAAAGAAGAAAATCAAGAATAATTCAAAAATAGAATTAGACAAATCTGAAAATTTAATTAAAACAGATATCAATTTAAGTTATTTCTAAAATTATAAAAAAAAATCATATTTAAATATTAATACTAGAAATATATATTTATATATATATATATATATATTTTTTTTTTTTTTTTTTATACATGAAGATTTTCATATTACTTTGAATATAAATTCTTTGGTTGGAAATTTTTGTGACAGAAACAATTTCAACATAATGAACATTAAAGTGAAGCATATAGAAAAAATATATCTTTTTTTATTTCATATATATATATATATATATATATATGTATAATAAAACACTATTATATTTTTATAATTTTTAGGTTGATGGAGTTTATAATATACCTACAAATGTAGATAATAAAATACCAAAAAGAAATTCTCTTTCATTTCAAGTATAAATATATAGTTTAAAAAAAAATAATTTATTATAAGAAAATTGCATATATAAAAGGTAAACTTATTTTATTATTTGTACATTTATATATATATATATACTTTTTTAGTTTAAATTTTTAGACTTTAATCTAGATGGTGGAACCCTTGTAGAAGGTTTTTTTTTTTTTTTTTTCTTTTTTTTTCCTTATTTATACAAATAATTATTTATATAATTTATATTATAAATATTATAATTATTTATGCTAATTTTAGATGATAAAAATAGCAAATACAAAATTACGTGGAATAAAAATATTTTATACAAATATAGAAATATAAAGGTATTATAAAAAAAAAAAAGAAAAATATAAAATTAACACTTAATAATATATAGGACTTTAAAATAAAAAAAAAAAAAAAACTTTTTATAATAGGAAATTGAATATATTTACAATTTTTTATATTATGATTCTTTTAATATAAATGGATTTTTACTTTGTTTTTGTGAAAATAAAAAACAAAAAGGTAAAATTTATATTTGGTTACTTGTAATATTTGAACAAATAAATTAATAGAAATAATAAAGAGAAATTTAAAAATACTACATTTAATTATAATTGTAAAATTTCAAAAGTAATAAAATACAAAATAACATTTATTGTTTTCCTAGATAACGTCACTACTAATTTATTAAATTCCTTATGTGGAAAATTTGAAATTAATATTTCAGATGTTATATCTAATAAAGGTTAACAAATATAAGTTAATATTCATTAAATTTATTCTTACATATTATTCACTTATTTTTATTATTTTTATTTTTTTTTTTTTTTTTTTTTTTTAGTTAATCATATAAAATATGAATTAAAAGAAATAGATATTCTTAAAAATGAAATAAAAAATATAAAAGAAAATGATGATTATGAAAATTCTTTCATTTATAATAATTCATATATCTTATTAACTATTCAATTTTATAAACGTAAAAATAGTTTTTATTTTAATTTTACTTCATTAAGAAAGAATTTATACTATTATATTAAATTGTGACTATTTTATAGCTTTTGTATTTAGATCAACTATTGAAACTCCTTTTAAAATAGACAACTTAAAAAATAATGTAAATATTAAAAGTGAAAAAGAAAGGATTCAGAATGAAAATGAAAGTATCAGCAATTTATTTAATAAGTAAAAATAAAATAATATTTGTAAAACCCATATTTCACAAATTTAAAACTTACTATATTTAAAAAAAAAAAAAAATATATATTCCAAAATTATTTTTTTTTCACAGATCAATTATTGAAGGAATTGAATTTGTAAATAATGAAATTAATAAGTTAAAAAAGGAGGAACAAATAAAAATTTACCAAAAATCAAAAGAATACTATGTATTTTTAAATAACTTAAAGGAAAACACAACCTATATAAATTTATATAATAATGTTAAAAATATAATGGTAAATAATATATATAAAAAAAATATATATTTTTTTTTTTTTTTCCTATTTCTAAAAATAAATTTTTTATTCTTAGATTAAACTAACGTATGAAATAATAAATAAAAAAATTTATAAAAATTTTAATTTAAATAATGATATATGTAATATAATAGAAGACGATGAACAAGAAGATGAAATAAATAATAAGCAGGAAATGAATAATGAAAACAATGAAGAACTACAACAGAGAGAAAAAGAGGAAAAAAATCTTAAAAAGGAATGGATGACAGATGTAGAAAATGAAAAGACTTTAGATAAAAAAAAAAAAGAAAAAAATATTTTCTCAGAAGAAAATATAAATTGTATACTTACTAATTTATTTAATTTTGTTTATGAATCATCTAATATAATAATAAATAATTATTTTGAAAAACAAAAAAATTTAAATATGAAATCTATTGATGAAATAAAAAAAAAAAATAACATTAGGAATCTAGAATATTATTTACAAAATGTTATAAAAGAAAATGAATTTTTACTAAAAGATAAAAAAAATGAATATTTTTGCGAAGCAGTATTATTATTAATTTTTAAAAAAGTAAATACGTTTTTTGAAAAAAAACATATGGGAATAAAAAAGACAGAATATCAAAACAGTAATCACATTGTTAATATAATAGAAAATTATGATAAATATGAAAAAGACATTGGAAATAACGTTATAGAAGCTAACTATTTTTATAAAAAAAAAGAAGCAAATTATGATCTAACTAATAAGAATGATAATTTAACATCCCTAATAAATATCATTTGTAGAGAAAACAAAAATGAATGTAATTCGTATTTGTTTGATTATATTGAAAATTATGAAAATATAATTTTAGATAAAGAATACAATAAGGAAAATGTATTATTCAAAGAAAATGAAAAGGATGAAAAAATAATATCTATTTTTAATTTAGACGAAAATAAACAAAACAAAAATTTATTTATAGAAATAATCTACAAATATTGTAAAATTTTATTAATTAAAAATAATATAAATTATACAAAAAATAAAAAGGAAATACAAAAAATGAATTATCAAGAATATCGAATTTTTAAAGAAAATAATAATCATAATAAAAGTTTGAATTCCAACGAAAATTTTGATTGTCATAAAAATTTTGATTGTCATAAAAATTTTGATTGTCATAAAAATTTTGATTGTCATAAAAATTTTGATTGTCATGAAAATTCTGATTGTCATAAAAATTTTGATTGTCATAATAATTTTGATTGTCATAATAATTTTGATTATCATGAAAATTTTGATTATTATGAAAAATATATTAACCACAAAAAAATTAATTCCTGTATTTTATGTTTATCTACTTATATAGAGTTAACAAATTTTGTAAAAAAAAAAAAAAATAAATAAAAAATTATTATGCATAGATAAATATTTATTACATATATACTTAATATAAGTATAAAGGAAACAAAATAAATGTGCTTTTATTTTTTTATAGGAAAACATTGAAAGTATTTTTATTTTAAGTTTAGTATATTTAAACACACATAAATATGAGGAATCATTAAAAATGGTTAATTATTTAATACAAATTTTAAAAAGAAAAAAAAAAAAAAAAGATATAGATAACTTAAAAGATAAAAAGGAAATAAGTTTGAAACATATACATTTATATAGTATCTATAACAATAATAATTTAGATATAAGTGAAGAAATATGCATATATGTTAAAGCATTATGTTATTATTTCCAACAAGATTACATACATTATTACATAAATATGTGTATTCTTTTAAATACTAATCAAAATGAATTGAAAAAAGAATTTGAGAATAACTCAAGTTTTTTCGAAAAAGAAACGGGTAAATATGTGTGTGCAGAATTATGTAACAAAGGAAATAAAAGAAAAGAAACAATTTTGTCGAAAAATGAGAAAAAAAATCAAAATTCAAAAAAAAAAAATTCTGAAGTAATAAAAGAAATTATGAAGGGAAATGATAATAATATTGATGAAAAAAAGAAAGAAAAATCAAATAATGAAGAACCTATTTTTGAAAAAAAAGAAGAAACAGAAGAAGAAATAAATGAATATGAAAAAGTAAAAATTAAAGAAAAAAAGAATACAAAGAATCAAGAAGATATAAATTACCTTTTAGATAATGCTATTTTGAAAAATTCTGAAATTAATTTAGATGAAATTCCTCTAAAAGATAAATTTATGTTACTATTTCTTATATATTGCATAAAATTTAATATAATAAATATTGTTATGTATATTTATGAAAACAAAAATAAATATTTAACAGAACTTTCAATAAATGCAAATATATACAAACAATTAATTATAAAAGCTTTTTTTTCAATTAAAGGTAAATTCATATATTTAATAAAAATATTTCTTGCATTACATTATTTTTTTTTTTTTTTTTTTTTTTTTTCTCTTTAATTAAAAATTCTGTCTTTATTTTTTAACTTTTTATAGATTATATAAGTTGCATTAAACTGATTGAAGAAAAAAAAGAAC